CCACCAAATACCGACCGCTCCATCCCTTGCGTCTAGATTGATTTGGTTGGTTACTGTAATCGATAACTTGTGATGGGACGCTATGCATTTCTTCTGGATCACGGGAGAAGAGGCTCTTCGTAGACTCGAAAGAACATGAAGTCGGTGTGAAGCACTTCAAAAACAGTGAAGTCGGTACTGAAGTCAAGCAAAGTTTGAGGATTAGTCCCAGTCGGCACCCTTCCCGCTCCATGCCGGAAAGGATCAAAGCACGGCCAATATGAGCCCATGTGTAAGGCTACAACGTAGGGATCATTCCTGCTATTAGCGATCTGCGAGTTTAGTGCAAAAACGCATGGTCGCACCGGAGAGCCTGGTGTGTTTCAGCCTGGGTTCATGAACTGGAAATTTGCAGTTTTTCAAAAAATTTGCATTTGTCATTTTTTACAAAGCGAGCACTTACCGAAAAAACGACCGGACTTCATGCAAAAATACCGGCAATCATGCACCTGATTGTCCGTGCGGCTCTATAGAGCCCACCTTCATCCCAACTGACGCCCTTCCTCCTGCATGCCGGAAAGGATCAAAGCACGGCAATATGATCCAAGTGTTAGGCTACAGAGTAGGGATCATTCCTGCTAATAGCAATCAGCGAAATTAGTGCAAAAGCGCATGGTCGCACCGGAGAGTCTGGTGCATTCCAGCCTGAGTTTTCAATCAAAAATGTGTTTTAGTTGCAGGAAGTTAGCATAACATGTGCATATATGCAACACTATGCATCCTGTTCCATTTCTGCATTTTGTCCGTCACATCGATAAGACTTCAGGGCGTTGGCGTTGAAGGAAGATTGTACTGTGGCGACAGACCACTTAGGAATACTCGAGTGCGAATTTATGATGTTGATAGAGGTAGGCTAGTTTATCGATTTTTATTTAAGACTCAAAACTACACTTCCAGTCAGTCACTAGGGCGAGCGATTTGGTGATGTCACTTAGTTAAACCTGCTTGCAGCGGATACTCGGACATTTATCCATGACCCGAAGAAGACCGTTGTTAAAACACAGTTACTTCTTATGTGTTATATTGGTCTTATTTAGAGGCACAAATTGAAAAAAAAACGTAGCTGGTGATTAAGGAAAAATTTTAACCGAAGTTCGAAAAAATTTGGAAAAGTGTAAAAGTGAAGCTTGACTAGCCAGTAAATATTTTTTTTGAAAGTGTTGCTACGAACTAATGACTTTTTCTACGAAAAATGAAATGGTGAAAGATTTTTTCAGTTTAAGAACAAATGGCGACAAACTCTGAAGCCGTCGGAGTTAGAAGATTTACAGAATTCAGAGTGAAAAGTAGCACTTTTAGGAAGCAGACATTTTCCAAGTTTTTTTTAATGTACCAAAAAAATATTATTCCTTGACGTGATATCCATGAATGAAATTTTGATAATTTTATTGTCTTTGCGTGGATGCGCGACACTAAAAGTTAGTAAAATCGTGAATTCGTGTGAAATTTTTGAACGAAGCAGCAAAAAAAATGTTACTTCTTCAAAAAGGAGCCACAACAAATCCAAAAATCTTTAAAATGAAAAGCTCATGGCACCGTTTAATTCAGTTCCTGGCGATTCGGACGATTTGCTGGATGAGCGATTCACAGATGCAAATGGAGAATTTCGCCTGGATGGTACCACCCGTGAACTGACAACTATCGAACCAGTTCTTGTCGTCTACCATGATTGTGAGGATGAAAATACGGTGCGTTTTTTTCCTATTGCTCGCCACTGGTTTCAACTATGAACGGCCCATTACTTGCTGTAACATCGTGCACTAATAAACTGCGTTGGAGTACACTTAAAAAATCATTGGCGACGCGCGCTGGATGGGCCCGTGCGATCATGCGTTTTTGAAGTGTTTCGTGTTGCATTAAGATCACTCGAAATTCCGCTACCTGGAAGCCTTTTGCACATACTGGTCCTCGAATTTCGGGAAGTTAATTATCCGCGCTATACTTGGACAGGGACCATTCTCTTGAAATCCCAGGTTCCCAGCTTTCTTAGTTCCCGAGTTACCCAAATTCCACCCAGAAAATTTCACCGGACTGTACGTGCAACCACGAATATTGAGGGGCTGAATTTGATAAATTCAGGTTGTAGATGAGTTGGGAACATTTCCTGAAAGTTTCAGTCTCCCAGATCCCCTGGCTCCGCAGTTGGCCATTTCCCCGCCAAAAACTTTCACTGGGCCCTACATGGCAACCACACAAACGCGGAGCTGAATTTGATAAATTTAAGTTGTGGATAGGTTGGGAACATTTCCTGAAAATTTCAGCCCCCCCCCCCTCCCCCCAGCTTCCCTGGTTCTGGAGTTAGCCATTTTCCCGTCAAAAACTTTCACGGGGCTGTACGCGGGAACCACGTATAACGGGGGGCTAAATTTAATAAATTTAAGTTACAGATGAGTTGAGAACATTTCCTGAAAGTTTCAGCCTCCCAGCATTCTTGGTTCTCGAGCTAGCGATTTTCGCGTCAGGAACCCTCACGGGGCCATACGCTCTCCTGAGGGCTGAATTTGAAATCCCTGAGTTCTACTTGGACTGGGAACATAATCCCAAAATTTCAGCTTTCTAGCTTTTCTGGTTCTCGAGTGATTTTCCGGTCACAACTTTGAGGCGCTCATGCGCAGGGCCTAGACGTGCTTGAGGGTTGGTACCGCGATCCTGGAGTGGCACTTGGTCGGGGAACCCACTCCCAAAATTTTGGCATCGGATCTTGCTTGGGTGCCGAGTTGAAACACCTGGACAGACGCACACACACACACACACACACACCGGGGT